TGCCGGCCTCCGACTGGGGTGTCATTGCAGGGCCGCCCCCATGTTGCGTTTCCCGACTTGTTTCCCGTCCTTCCGGGTCGTGGGAGAGAAGCAGCTGCCGCAGGAGATCATTTTCCTGGTCTGGTCACCCAAGCGGGATCTCATTGCTTTGGCCAACACTGCGGGCGAGGTGAGTGAGCCGGCGCGTAGCCCGGCCTCGGTTTCCACTGCTGTGGGCGCCACCTGTCTACCCGCCCGTCCCTTCCAGTCCCGCTGAACCAGACGGAAAAGGTCGTTTATACGCCCATTGCCCAAATCTTATGGTCAAAACAACAGTTCTCACGCAGCTGAACTCAGTTACACAGTCCTGCATCCCACACACTCTTTTAGTCATTTATTTGTTAAATGGGCTTTTAAAAGGCTCATGATGTGTCATTCTTGAGTTAGACATAGTACTAGGTCCACAGACTCTCCCCTAAGTTTACTTAGAGTTTAGGCAGAAGAAAGATGAGCTGTGGTCAGACCTGAGCTGCGAATATGCATGCATGTAGCTGCCACAGAGGATATGTCTAAGAATCTGTATTCTTTTGTCCAAGTTTTGTACCAGGCTGGAGAGCCACCTCCTGTTGACACCTTTAAATTAAACAAGGAGTGATGCTTCACTGGGTTCCTGATGCAGTGTGGGTAGTGTTGTTAGTTAGCACTTCTAGTTCACATTAGATTACCCGCCATCAAGTGTAACCCGGTTGTACCTAACTTTCTGCTGAGTGTTTTTAATTACCTGACAGCCATTTTGCAAGGAAACCTTCACCTGTGCATCTTTGCTCCTGTGGCCTTTTGCCAGGTTTCATGAGAGTTATCTGGCCAGGTGAGAGCTGCATTGTGTGACCCAGCTTGACTAAGCTTGGGAACTAGGTGGTAAAAGAACTTAGCAGCAAGTGAAACTTAGCAGCCTTCAAAGCCATGTTGACTGTCCTGACCTCGTTGTCAGGGTATTGATGTCTGCTTTCTCAGGGCCTGCTGTAAAATCTACTCTGCCTCCACTGCCAAGGTACTTTGGAACTCCGTGGTGGCTCTAGGCAGAAGTCCAGGTACTATAGCCACAGCAGTAGGAGGGAAGGGAGAGAACTGATGCATCAGTGTGGTCAGATGGGTAGATGTAATTGTGGGCACGTGTTGCCTCTGTTTTCCCAGTGAAGAAAGGGCGTTATTTAGGAGGGAGGATGGAGGATGGAGGAGAAAAGAGAGATATGAAGAAGCTGACAAGGCAGGTGGACTAACGAAACCTAATAGGATTGTTGGTCAGTATTAAGAGCCCCATGAGTTTAGTGGTCTTGTAGTTTAAAGGAAACTAATGAGCATGGTTGTGTCTCTTCTGTTCACTTGTGTGAGTGCAGGCAGGCTTGGTTGGGTTTAACCGGGGTTGTTGTGCCAAAGTGTGACAAAGCAAGAGAGATGCACGGGAGTTGAAGTTGTATGCAAGAGGAATGATTGTAATGATGAACTTCGGACTCCAACCTGATAAAGAAGGAAAGTGAGGGCATGTGTGGTGTGAGGGACAATGAATAGGTGGTGGAATGAATAGATTGTATGTTTTGATGAGGTTGAAGAGTTGAAGTTGGGTATCAGTAGGGATGAACAGGAAAGATACAAGTGGTGATGGGAAGTGGGAGGTTTGGAAGTTAAGATTATGGGATCATCTGGAGTTTTTGGTAATGACAAGGTCACAGGCATGACCCTGGGAGTGACCAAGGTGAGGCAGAAGATGTGATCATTGAAGGAGACATAGTTGAGAACCAAAAAGTCAGGACATTGTAGCTCTTAAAATCACCAAGAATGACGATGAGTAGTGTTGCGAAACATGAGCGAGCCAGACAGGAGTCCAGACCCCCCAGGAATGGAGGGGGATGGCCGAGGGGTCTATGAGTGACTGCAGTTAAGAGGGATGGCAGGTGGTATTGTCTGACTGCATATGATTTAGAGTTAGAGGATTTTAAAGAAGAGAAGAAAAACATCTAGAAATGACATCACGCATCAAGGAGGAAACCTACTTTCTCTTCTAGCCCAGTAGTGGTACTGGGGACATGGCATGCAAACGGCCACTGTACAAGCATCCTGCAGAGAAGCGGTGTCCTCAAGTGAGAAGCACATTTGCGAGAAGAGAATGAAGATACAGGGGATGTTGGTGATACCTGACTGTGAATTCCAGAGGGCACAGAGGAAGGGTTTCAGAAGTAAGGAAAAGGCAGAGATGGGCTCAGAAAAGAGCATGGAGTCTGGATGGTGAGCGGTTCCTTGGGAGTCCTGGCTTCCCTGTAACCAGGAATGAAGGATGCTGTGAGATAAGGCAGGGAGTGCTACAGCCGTGAGTGTGGGGAACTGAGACAGAGTGTGTGTGGAGGGATGGGGGTATCTTCAGGAGCGCAGGCAGTTCTGATGCCTTTTCATCCCATTTCCAATGATTGTATAGAGGACAGAGTAGGGACAGTGTAGTTTTGAAGCACTAGGAGCTCTGGGACATCATCTTGACCCTTCAAGGTGAGAATTTACCTGTGTGGAAATGGAAATTTAGAATGGCTCTGACTTGTCCAAGATCTATGGCCAGTAAGTGGCACAGATGAAATTAGATCCCAAGTTGGCTGATTCCAAGTTTAGTGTTATTTGATTATATATACCTTTTTCTTTTTTTTTGATGTCCTTTATTTCTTTTTTTGTCATCTTCTTGGGCAGCCTTATTCCTTTCTAAAAGATAAGTCTCTTGTTGACATAAATGATAAAATGTATAGGATACAGAGTTAAATTAGACCTTGTTTCACCCATTTCTTTGGAAATACGTTAAGTTCGTTCAGACACTGTTGTCTTCTAACTCGTTCTGATAGTTAAATATTGTTCTCAACATGATTTTTAAAAATTTTATAGTGAGTGTCTAGGTTTATTTTGTTTTTGAAATGGATGTTTAATTCTCTGCTATTATATCTGGTTTGTCTTAGGTTTTACTTCATCGTCTTGCAAGTTTTCATCGAGTTTGGAGTTTTCCACCAAATGAAAATACAGGAAAGGAAGTGACCTGTCTGGCTTGGAGACCAGATGGCAAACGTAATGATAGTATTGTTAAAAAATACATTTTTGCTTTTCAGAAAGAGTATTTTGTAAAGAGAGCTTGTTTCCAGAAAGAATTGATTTATTATATGTTAGAATTTTAAATACCAGTTTGGAAACTTTGTTTTTTCAAATGCTTTACAGTGTTTTCGTAGAACTCAGATTAATTCTACTCTCTTGTGTTTTGGCAAAAGGATCTCTAAAATGAAATCTGACTTCTTAGCAAAGATAAGTCTAAAAAGAGATTTGGTGGGAACTTTGGTTTCATTCTTTCCCTATCTTGTCCTGTTGTTTGCCCCAGGCTTCATTTGCCACTCACTAGTCCGTTCAGTGCCATCATGGCCCTTTTCTCCCAAAAATGTGTTTTAGTGTGGCTCCTGAGTGTTCTCTCTGCATGTGTGCTTCCCTCACCGGAAGGACTGTCAGCTCTGACCCCTTTCCTTCGGCTTCGGTGTACTCTGTCTCCTCCTGGTGCCCTGTATGTTGTGGCTTGTTACATGGTGGCTCTGAGGACTGAACTCTGCTCTTCCATGTGCTGCCCTGCAGTGACAATTGATATTTGAGCTGTTGTCCATATCTGGTCAGTACAGGAAAGTGCTGTAAATCATACAGCTGAAAGTTCATCTGTATCTTTGATGCTTTAAAAAAAAAAGCTGAATTGTTTTTGTAAAATAATACGTACTTCTCACTGCTTACTTTTTTCCTAGATGAATGTAAGTCTGTAAAAAATTCCCTGAAAGCCTACCGCTTACAGGCAACTCTTTTGTTTACACTCATTTTGCTCAGTTCTTGTTTTGTCTTTTACTTAAAAAAATAGTATGTGTAAAATTAGAGGACTTCTGTAAGTAATATTTTGAGATCTTGCACTATACATCCAAAAGCACCGGGATCTCAAAAATCATGGAAAGTCACTGTGGGTGAAAATGTATTTAAGCAGATGATATTTTTATCATTAAAAAGTCTTGTTTTTGGACAGTAAAATAGAGTTTTGCTTGGTAACGATTATTTCAAGATTGCTTTAAATTGTTTTGAAGAAGAGGAGACTTAGATTGCCTCATATCTAGCAAAGTTGCATGTGTTGGTGTACAGTAAAACTCACAGCCCTCTATTTAGAAATTCTTAAATTGATATGTTTGGAAGATGTTAATAACTTACGTAGAGAAACTATGCTAGATGATTCAGCCACAGTGAAAGGAAGAAGACCCAACAATATTTGATGGCCCTGTTCATGGAGGGTTAGAAATAAAAAAGGAATAAAAAACTTCCAAGAAGCAAGCAGATGGAATCACTTTTTAACTTTTCGATGGGGATCACTATGTCTTGGTGATACCATATCATTGTCT